TTTTAGCATGCAAAATGAAAGGGCAAATGGAAACTTATTTTTTTTATAGTGACAGCTTATAACAGAAAGAAAATGCTACTCTGAACCATAGTATTACTTCAGTTAGTGCTTGCTGGCTCTGTACATTTATATAAAACATATTCAGCAAAATGTCCTACAAAAATTAAAAACAGAAGTTGGTTTAAAGTATTTTCAGAGACAGTACTCTTTTTAAAAAATTTAAAACAAAAGTTGATTGAAATGTTTCTGTAATACAAGCAAGTCTCCTGGCGGTTTTAGAATGCTGTCTGGGTTCATTACCAGCCCTGCTTCTCAGTACATAAAGGAAATAAAGAAGGCCGGAGGAGTGAGCTGGGATGTGTCTATAGGGAAAGAAGAACTTAAGAGTCTTCTAGGTTTTGAAAAGACCAGCAGGAAAAGAATCATTCTCAGGTCTAAGGCAATATTGTGAAAATGTGAAGGAAATGTTGAATTAGCCCAATTAATGTTTTCAATCAGATACTTAAGGAATAGTCAGTCCTTAAGAGAACTATCAAAAAAACAGTTAGTAACTTTACTCATGTGATCTCTCAATCTCAAGCATGCTACTTCATGTGAAAAGTTAGCATGTGTGTTAGTGTCTGTAGAATCAGGCCCATAGTTTGTACTTTTCAGTTGAAAAGCACGAGCAGAAAAGGCTGGAGCACTTTAAATAATTTCAAGCATATAAAATATTGTTAGGTAGCTACAATCCAGCCTACCCATAAGGGGTACAGTATAAATATGAAACAAAAATACTGGCATTTTAATTATTGTTCTCTATTGTATTAAATTGATTCTAAATAATTTGCTCATGTAAAAAAATGTAGACAGGCTGATGGAAAACAGATAGCATATCAAATGGCCAGCACTGCCATTGCAAGCAATAATACATTAACACTGAACTCAAATTACTTTCTAGCTCTGGAATGAGCTCTTTCAACAGAAGCATATTTTTCATTAGTTTTGAGTACTTGAACATATTATCTAATATATTACGGACATCTTTATAGGTACAAGAAATAATGTGTACATTATCTGATACAAGCAAACAGGAAAGCACAGTGCCTATGTTTAGGGATAAGTTATCTTAAGAATGAGCTTTTCTTATCAACCTGGACCCTGTATTCAGCAGTAATTTTTTTTTATTTTGCTTCTTGTAGTATTATCAATTTATTATAGGTTCTGTTAGGTGCAAGTTATAAAAATGTATAACCTTCAAGTTACACAAATGTTTTTTGGGAAAACACCACAGTGATGTATGCTTTCTAACCAGTCTAATTAGTTAAGTTTGTATTAAAAACAAAAATGTGTCTCAGGAGGCAACAGCAATCCAAATATATATTCCAGCATTTTATTAAAATGTGCTCCCTCTGAACAATAAACCTCTCTCTCCCTGGTCCCATTGCTGCTTTCTGTCAGAGGGCCTCAGCAGAAGATTATGGTCTAAACCAAGATAGCTTGGATAAGCATTTTATTCAATTAGAACAGAAGATGACATAGGTTAACCAGCACAGCATTATGTACATATCCCTATTTACTTATTTCCAGAAATATAGTCTAAAATAATGTTACCGGAAATACGCAAAGAGTTGACATGCTGCAGTCTATCATAACCATTTTTATCCAAGTGAGAATAAAGAGAAAGTGACTGATGAAAGGGAGACATAAATAAGAGGAAATATTAGGGTTTTTTATGTATAACAAGAGGTTTCCAAAATTCTTTGTTGGGGGGGGGGGCGCGGGGGAGAGGGTGTCTGTGTGTGAGAAAGAGAGAGAAAAGGAAAGATATTATGTATTTCTAGCAAAACATCTGTATTATGTATTCAGCAGGAACACAGTGGAAACTCTATATCCACTATCACAACAGATCTCTCCCAAGAAGAAATCACGTAATAGCTTCAGTTTTAGAAGTATCACGTTGATTTAATTTTGGCTAAAAAAATTCTATTGCATGAGTATTTTTAATCAAAATAGATTGTTTTTATAAAGCTATAGTTCCTTAAATACTGTACAAAGATAAATAATTTAGAAATTCACACAAATATTTTTCATATACCGATATATAGTTTTGCCAAAAATAGTTTTGTGGAACTCACTGTGAAGCTGAAAACTTCAAAGAAAAATGATAATATTGTGCTTAAAAAAAAAGCTCCTATCCATATGGTATTTCAAAGTTCTGTTTGCCATCACTAAGTTAAAATACAACAACAATGGATATGAAATAAACACAAGTTTTGATCCCACAAATCCTTGGTCATGTAAAGGAGTCCCATTTACTTTAGTGGGACTACTCATGTAAGCATGACTACTTGTAGTAGTCAAAATTTGCAGAATCAGGCCCTCAGTAATTGCAAAAAACATTAAAACGGCAAATAGCTGAAACTGGAAACAACATTTCTGTTGTGTTAGAGTATGTTTATTCTGCTGCATTGTAACAAAAATTTTACGTATGTTCTAAAACTTTCCATGGAAAAATATTTTACAGTGTTTCTCAACTCACAAAAACAAATATGTATCCGAACATAGGAGCTTAATCACTGCTCTACAGTAAGATCAAACCCAGAAAACTGTACAATAACATTGTCTATATTATACATATTACTGTGCTAAACACTTGGCATTTTAATAAATGTAATCACAATTTTATTCTCCATTAATGATGTGATACTTTGTAAAATTACTTTTCTTCATTATAAGAGCTTGTATCTTGCTTTTGCACAAGATTTTAAGAGTAGCCAACGACCTACTTATTTGGAACAGAATTTCATAGAAGTAAGGATTTGTCATATCCAAGTGTAAATTAAACATCAATTTATATTAATATTAAGGAAAGGTGTGTTAAAATAACAGTGTAATCTTTGTTAAAGTACATTTAAAAGATCAAGATTCTCCAAAAAATAAAATAAAATAAGACAAGAAGAACAACCAAACATTTAAAAAAAAACTTTTGAGATTATATAAATCCCTATTCCATCTCTTCTATTTACAGCATACAAAAATAGCTTGATCAGATTTGCAATATCAATCACAACATTTAGAAAAATAAGTAGTTACCAGTTAGGCAAAATCAGTAAAATCTAATAACTTATTCACTTGAGGGCACATACCATTCCATGACAAAGGAATATTTTTATTTAACAATGTGGCATTCCTTTAACAGAGTCAGAAGTAACATAAAACATAAAAGCAAGATAGCCACGATGATCACTTCTTTCATAACACAAAGAAGAAAAAAAGAACTATTGTGTGAAATGAAAAAGATCTTCAAATACAAAGTCAACACACACAGGTGTTTGCATTTCGTATATTTCATTGTGGGCTTCATAGGAAGAAAAAATAGTTTCATTTGTAGATCTTACAGGGAAACAAAGAATCTCAACAAGAAGTCCTGATAAACAAACATCTTCACCAGGAGAGAGAGAAAAATTAAACCAGTTGTAAGCAACCATGGACATCTTTTGTTCCTTGATAAATATTTGTCTTTGTCTTTTGTGATAAGGTCTGCTGCCTGCATTTCACATAAAAAGGCCTAGTTGTTTCTGTATAGAAAACATTTAATTAAGATAATTTCCGATTTCGTAGCCCCCCCCCGTGAGCTGATGAAAAAGGCAAGCAGTAATGTAGAAAAAACAGCACCCGCTGGCTGTAAACAGGGTAGAACAAATGTCCTGCAGCTCCAAAACAAGGAAACATGGGCCCCCCTGCTGGTTAGTAATGGGGAGGAAGTTATCTCCTACAGACTGGAAATTGCTTCAAGGATACCAGGAAGACGAGAGGGAAATGGATTGCAGAATCATGGCCATGGAGAAAAAATGGAATTAAACCACACTTTACAATTGTGTATTGTTTTGGAGGTGGGGTAGAGGGAGAAGAATTTTCACAGAGCGTAAGACCAAATATGTGATATATTACAAAAGTTACAAAACTGAAAAAGTTTTATTTTTAAAGGGCAAAATAATCTTAATTCCCAGAAACACTAACATTTCAGCATCTTCTATCATACTAGATGTTAAAAATTAGCTTAAATGTTAGCTCAGGAAGAGAAAAAAGTGGGAGAAGATATTTTACTGTGAAGCACAAATTGACGGGAATCACTCTTCTATGAAAAAATTATTTATTTACTTACCTATTTATGGTTAATCCTTTAAAAAAATACAATTTTTCATCTATGTTTTCATTGAAATTCACCACTATGAAGTTCTCTACACACAAGTGAACACTGAAAAGCTTATTTATTTTTAAACCACTGTTTCATGTTTTACAAACACAGGGCCTTATCCTTCAGACCCTTAGCCCAGTGAGCAATTTCATTACCTTGAGTGGAAATTGCTTACATGAGTAACTGTTATTTGCAGGAGTTAGAGTTCACTAGAACAATTCCCTGCACCACAGATTTTAGAAATAAGAGGAAAAGAAATCTTGGTAACAAAACCAAAGTAGTTTTGGTACAGATAACATAGAGAATATACACAAAGAGCAAAACTTCCAAAATTCTTAATCCTTGTACACATGATACTTTCATGGAATTGCTAATGATCATAATACTGCTCTCTCAATCAAGGACACAATCAGGCAAGTTTCTGCAGGAAGAGGTGTCAGAAACAGCAATACGAGATTTTAATGCAGGCCCATTTCAGGTCTGGGTCAAACAATTACACATCCTCTCATTGATATCTATTTTATACTAGTTTATAAATAAGGCTCTAACAGAGTAAGAGAGTACATCAAAATCATTCCTTAACTGCACTCTTATGTGTGTGACTAAGACTCCTTGCAACATTTTATATGATATTTAGTTTAGGAACATGGACAGAAACAGTAATTCTCAACACTGAAAATTTTTACAGTAAAATTAAAGCATAATATTAAAAACTCAGGTAAGTAGAAATGCAGTGTACATAATCCACTAGCACATTTATACATATTAGGGGCCATATCATTCCCACAGTCCAAATATGCAGCAAAAGAATTGTGCTTACATTATGGCCATGATACAAGTCCTCAATATGGATTCCAGCAGCTGAGTTTTCCTGTTTGGTAAATATTCAGAAAGCACAAAAATCAGTTTTCGCTTTAAACCCCAGCAAAAGAAACTACATGGCTTACAATGATCCTTTTTCAAAGTTGGATCAACTTTTAAATGTGCAATTTACTTTTTCTCCAGGAACACCAGGATCTTTATTCCATGAATAAAAATGTCAATAAAAAACAAAATAAAGAACTTCTATACTGTAAAAGATTTAAGACAAACACTGTAAGCACAAAAGGGCAGTTAGTGCTAAATTAATCTAAATCCCCCCAGGAATCACAGAGTTTGTAAAGACCAGCTATATAAAAAACCTGGCATATTTCTTGAAAAAATAACCATTAAAACAAAAATGTTTTAGCTACATATTATCTTACCCGCTTTTAGACAAAAGTGTAGAAAAGCCATCATGCAGAAAAGAGAGTAATATCATGGTTTGTTCACTTTACAAATATTGTCAGACTCTGGATTATACACCTGAATTGACACAGTCTAAGTAGATCAGGTCCACTTTCACATTAGAAGAAATACGTAACTCATCTTCCTACCAACACATCAAAAATGTGATAACAATTGAACTTAAAATTACAGTACCTGGAGCTTGAAGCTGTTCTCAGGTTTGCTTAACAAAGCATTCTTCCTACAAGAAGTATTAGTTATTATCCCATAAATTGTGTTAATAGTTTTGAACTTAAAGTACATATTCCCTATTTTAATGTTTTATACATATCCCCATTTTATGTTCATCTGTTACGGCTGTTACTGTTTAGAGATTTTTAAATTCATTGACGTTTCATTAGAAGTCTCAAGTTAAAAATCTGTAAGACCCCGATCTTGGAAACATTTAAGGTTGAACCTAATTTTAGCACTGAGGGTAGCCCCACTGATATAAAGTGATGTTACTGAAGGTAAGATTGTGCATACCTGTTTGCAGGATTGGTGCCTAAAATGGCATATTTTTAGAGTACCAAAAAGAATAAGAATCGAGACTTCACTTTTTTACACTCTCTCTCTCTCTCTCATGTGTTTGTGAGCACATGTTAAAATAGATTTAAACTTTTTGGTAGGGAAATTCCATAATAAAAGGTAATGACAATAGCCAATCAGGATAATGGTTTTCGAACAGTTTGTACACATTTGACAACAAAGGTGGCAATAAACAAGCCCAACCAAAGAGTGTAATGGGATTAATCCAAGATTATCTCAATTGATCCTTTCCATAAATACAGTGAAACCATACTCACTTAAGAGCATTGGAGGAGATAATGAATAAGTAAAAGTTACCTGACTTCAGCACCAGCATAGGGCTGACAAGGACCATGTTGAGCAGACAAATTAATTTGGCATAAAGATCTAAAATTTCTGACACTTAAGAAAAACTACCTTGAGACCTACTTTTGTTTTAACTGCACTGTTTTGTTTATGTAGCAATAAAGATATTGTAGGGTTGGGGTTTAGATACCGTGGGGATAGGTTTTTTAGCATATACCTACACCCTGGAAGGGTAAAAATAAATCTTTTAAATGAGCTCTGGGTTACATTTCAGCCTAAGGTCTGAGACTGACACCAAAACAAAGAAGGAAAATGATAAAACAAATATTGCCTGATAAATCTGTTGCTTATCATGAACATGGTAGTCAGTCTTCAAAGTAGAGCAGAATTAAATATTCATCACAATTTTTTTCCTGAAAAAATCCTTGATTTCCAAAAAACATGTTCTAAAACAGAATTTTTTTTTTTAATTTAGAGATTTTGTTGACATCTCTGGGGGAAAAAATACCACTTTTTTTGCATTTTAAACTGCATAATTTGGTGACTGTTCACATGGTAATGGTTTTGGATTCCTGATTGTCCAAGGTCACTCCTTATGATTAGCCATGATAGTAGAAGCTGGGAGCAGCTCTACGTAAAGCTCCCTTCTGCAGTGCAAAGAACTGTGTGGGGGGGCAGTTGTTTTGCCACCACTTTCACCACAGTCCAAAATCATGCATGATACAGGAGACCCCAAAAGGGAAGAGGAAGTGGAGATGGAATACTAGACAGAGGAGACACAGAGAGTAATTACAATACCAGCAAGCTGTGATTCAACAGTGAAGAGAGTGGGTTGATTGAAGGATGAAAAATAAAGTAGAAACAAAAGTAGGCCTCTGATCCACATCATTAAGACTGTAGTAAAGTTGGAAAACAACTCCTGGGCCCCCTCTCAAGATACTCTCAAGCATAGGACACCGTTCACATAAGGGATTTATACTACTTTATACAGATACCTACTAGGTAACTCCTGTAAACTAGAATGTGTCAAAAGAGGCCATAACCTCCTCGTCCTCCAGATCTCTCCTTGAAAATCTGTGCAACAATGCCTATAAGAAATCAGTCAGTTAATGAGGACTGGATTGGCAGATGAAGACAGCTGACACTTTATTAGTATTTCTTGTATTAAATATCGAACAAATTGCATATACTGACTGGTATCTCTCTTCCCACAGCCTTGCTGTGTCACTTGCTCCCTTAGATTGCAAGTTTAACAGGAAAGGGATTGAGTCCCTGTATATGTTTGTACAGAACCTACAAAGTAGGCCCCAGTCTTGACTCTGGAGGCATCTACAATATTGATATTTAATAATAAATAATAAAAATGAGAAAGAGAAGTAGTAGTAGTAATTCTGGGGATAGGGTCTGCAGCAGGAACAGTGACAGCATTAGGCTTTCTATAATCATCATCAAACCTTATAATCCCATCCTTTTGGGAGATCGTAACAAGTGGAGAAGCCCAGAGACTATCAGACACTGTAATTACTGCCATTTCCATCATGCTTGCTATTTCCTGACAAACTAGGGGAGGGATAGCTCCATGGTTTGAGCACTGGCCTGCTAAACCCAGGGTTGTGAGTTCAATCCTTGAGGGATTGAGGGCAAAAATTGGGGATTGGTCCTGCTCTGAGCAGGGGGTTGGACTAGATGACCTCCTGAGGTCCCTTCCAACCTTAATAGTCTATGACTTGCTCCTGCATTTTGCCTGTAGTCCGGTATGCTCTGCTGGGTGCAGGCTGTGGTCTTATGGCCCATTCCACGAGTCAGTTCTAGCCTGCTGGAAAATACCTGTTGGTGACTTTGCAACACAGCCATAATCTGTGTCTTTTTAGTCCAGGTTAACCCTTTATATAGGTCAATGCTCTCTAGTGGGGTTTCACTATGGCATTCCGTCATCAAAATCAATAAGAAGGGCTGTCTTAGAGTCCTCTTCTATACAGCATATCATGTTTACAATGGCTTCATGCCTGTGATACCTTTTAACCTGTTTACATGCACAGTTTGAGGTGCAACCCTGCTGCACAACCTTTGTACACTGTAGGTAATATTGTTAACCCTTTCTACCACCTCAAAAGGCCCCTCCCATGAGTAACACCAGTACCAAATCCCCCACATGAAATGACCAACAACAGGTATTATTTATTTCTGAGTTGCCTGGATTTTTGTGAGGTTTTGCTGCACCAGTCCCACCATAGACTTTAAATCCTCCCTAATTTTTTGCACATATTCAGCCATCAGTTCCCCCTCTGCTTCAGTGTCACCCTCCCAGCAGTCTCCAATGATATGCAGGGGACCTCCGACCTTTCTCCCATACAGGTTAAATGCAGTGAACCTCGCAGACTCTTGGGGTACCTTCTGGTAAGCAAACAACCAATAGGGTAACATTACATCTGAGCCACATGCCCTCTTGTTTACATAATTTTCAGCATAGATTTTAGGATCCCGATGAACCTCTCAACTAAATTGTTTGTCTTTGGGTGGTATTTGGCAGATTTCAGTTGCTCTATACACACATCCTCCACAACTCACCAAATAGCTGGGACTTGAAATTTGACCTCCGATCTGTTAAGCTCACTTTGGGAAAATCCTGCTGCTGAATATAGAGAGCAGTGCCTCAGCAATTGTTTCAGCTTCTACATTTGGCTGAGCAACTGCTTCTGGATACCTGGTGGCAAAATCCAATAATATAAAGCTTTTTCCTCTCTGGGTTGGCCTGGACAACCCTAAAAAATGCTTCTTTGATCACGGATAAAGGATGCAAAGGAGACTTGCAGAGATCCACAGGATTTTTTTCCACTTGTGACATAATTCACAAGTCTTGCAGTATTCCTTTACCTCATTTTGAATATTGGGTCAATAGAAATTTTTCTTTTGTCTTTCATATGTCCTGTCTGTTCCCAAGTGACCAGCAAAAGGATAATTGTGAGCTAATATCATTAACTCCACACAATGCTTTGTGGGCACAATTAACTGTTTATAGGGCTCCCCGAGACTTCTATATTTCCCAGATGGAGCTTCCCTGTAAATTCTTCCCTCTTCTACAAAGACCCTCCCTCTGTTCTCTTTCTCTGGGGCATTCCTGAGGATGACCTCCACCTGCTCTCTAGGGAGGTGTTTGCAGTCTACTCTGCAACAAACTCCATTTGGCTTTTGCTTGCACTGAGAGCTGTCTCAACTAAGGGAACTCCTCACTCCCCTCCCCTGGAGACAAAGCGGGTGGCTCACCAGAGACTACTGGAGCTGGAAGACCGAAAGTACAAAGACTGAGAGAAGAAAAGGCAGCATGAGCTTAAAAAGTTGGAAATGCAAGGACAGAACTCTCATGAGCCTGGTTACCCCCAGAAAGCATCACAGTGGTATAGTCAGCAGGATCTATACACCATTGGCTGGGTATAGGATATACACCATAGGTTGTACACCCTATACACCCTATACACCATAGGGTCACGCTCCCAGCACTAATCTACCAGCTAACATAGATTCTGAGAGATTCAAATATGAGAAAGTCAGAAACTGGTAAAGAAAAAGGTTACAGTTTGTTATTTCTCATTTGTTTATTTTGGGTAGGGGAAATAGAAGAAAAGAAACAAAGATTGCTGAGCACACCAGATCACAGTGAGAAAAACTCTGTACAGACTGTGGCTCGAATACTACAGGGAAAACAATGGAAGGAATGAAATCTCTACTCATGGA